CACACACACACACACACACACATACACACACATACACACACAAACACACACATACACATACACACACACACACACAACAATTCAACCTAAACACAGTGGGGTGCAAATGAATCGGAACAAGAAAACATACCGATGTACCGCTGCCATTGGAAAGCACATGCAACATGACCGGCTGCAGTGAACGTAATCACAGCGTTTGACAAAATTAAAGCACCCTTAATCGGGTTAACTTTTGATTGTCCGCTGTTCATTAATTTCACGCGCCAGTTTTCCACAATTTTTTCATGTTTCCTCGTTTTCCTGATGAAAATAGTACAGCGGCGAGCGCGATATTAGGTTTCCGGAACAAATCTCGCCGTTGTATGTTCTCATTTTGTACAAGGATATCGCAGCACATTGTTTCGGGCTTGAATCGCTCTCGAAATAATTATCCCGTGCAGTTCTCGTAGGAGGAGCGCAGCCTCTCCTAAATGCATTATCCCGGCTCTTGTTCGACCAACTCCGCTCAGTGCAAGGAAATTAGATTTCCAGGATACAAGTAATTTATGGCTCCGGAAAGTCCCTCTTGCTTAAAAAGTCCACTCAGGGAAAAATGCATGATAAGAGGAGAATGCACTTTATAACCAGATTTATGTGCCTGCTTCACAATTCACGCAAATTACACTTCTTTCCTTTGCGTTGAAATTCTACCAAGGTAGCGCATTGTACGAGTAAATCATTTAGAAAGGTACTTCAAAAGAAAACGTAATTATTGCTTTCAATATTAAGTTGAATGCCATTATACAATTTACTGTTGGCTCAGCCTTCTTTCTAAATTAATGTCTTGTTTTTCTCGTGACATACATTCAAAGGATTATATATTCAATACGTACGGTTTCTTAGTTTTCTAATTCGATTCACGTGGAAGGCGAAAGACTACATGTCTTTTGGGTATGACCGAGAAATTTACATTTCATCTTAAAGGTTTTGTGTATTCATTATTTAAGTGTTTACGAGAAATTATTATTTACATTAACAAATATTTGGATAAATAGTAGTATAACAACGAATACATTGTTTCATTCTACGTCCGTTACACAGTTATTAAAAGTTATGCGCGGTTTCTTACAATCTAAACTAATATTTATTAGACCTTTCCACTTATATTTGACCTATTTACTCGAAACAAAATCAATTTTAGAATAAAATTTAAGTTAAAAAAATTATATTTTTAATTCGAAACAAACCTACAAAAAATAATTAAATAAGTTCAATAATTCGGCTGCGTATGCTCTAAGAACCACAACAAAATGTAAAAGTAATTGACTGACCGATTTTCATTTTTAAGAAAAACAGACTCGAAATAGAATACGAAAAGCTTTATAGAGATTTCAGATTGCTTTGAATTCTAAAAACGTGTTGAACGGACAGGAAACGCACATTTTCGAATCGCAACGAACAGCTTTTGGCGAATAATAATTCTGAGAGTTTGAAACATTCTCTTTGAAAGCTAAATTTTCAGCGTGCGAGCGCGAAATATAAGGGTGAAAAATATAAATAAAAGGAAAATTGCAATTTACATTTTAAGTAAAAGTAAAAGTTTCCTTTAGCTTCGAAAAGCCTTTAAAACATGTTGCGACAGGCATTTAGGCATTTCGCTTGTTAGAGAAAGGTGTCATTATTTCGTGTAACTTTACACATAAGAGCAACACTTAGTACTTCTGTTGATCGAAGTTGGAATTTTGAACCAGAAATTCACAACAAGGAATGGCAATCGGAAACAAAAAGGTCAGAAAGGAATGAAAATGGTCAGAACAGTTTTGCCAGCACACACAGAGTAATATTTTTATGGATAAAATTCCTCTTTGTACTTGCAAAACGTGCAGAATCGATAGAATAAGTACCGACGCGAACTCAAAGGGTTTTTAAAAAAAATCTTCCTTTGAACCATTAACGTATCTAATTGTAATTCTAATTTTCTACCAGGCAGTAAATATTTTTCTATGCATTTTCTTGCGTTGATATTTTCTTTATCACTCTTCTTTTATTCTATTATTACGTTTTGCCCGACAACCTTTCTTTCTTTTCCACAATTCTTCTTGATTTAAATGCATCGTTACGTTATTCTCCCTTTCCTTAAACATTGTATCGTTCACATCTCTTTTTGAAACACCGCCATCTCTTTCTTTCTTCCTTTCTTTACTTTTTCCCCCTTTTTGATACGAAATGACTGCAATTCGAATTATTTATTTTACAAACGTTTCAATAAACTTTTTAAACAATTAGGACTTTAAAATAGGTTTCGTTTACAATTATTTGAAAATCGAGTAGTTTTCACCTAATTCTTGATTGAAGATGAAAAGTGTAATTTATAAAAAAACATTTTCACTAAAAAGGCTCCAAATGTTTACCACGGATAGAGAAAAGAGCACTTAAATGGCGGTGGTCAGATTTTCATTAAAAACACTGAAATTTGAAAGTAATTGAAAAATTATAAATAACGTTAGAATGTATGTACTGCTGTGTTACCACTAGTTTATTATTATGAAAATGTTTTCCACTCAGTGTTGACCGATTTTTTCTTCAGTCATCATAAAATTTTTAAAGATTATTTAGGATTATTTTCTATTCACTAGATCAGAACTTTAAACAGAAAAAGAGGAAATACGAATAGTAAATACTTGCATCTTATTTCAGTATTTCCATATTTTCCTTCCTCGCTTTCTCTCTATGTCAGTCTGTCGTTTCTCAGTCTCTCTGTTCGTCTCCCCCCCTCTCTCTCCCTTTCTTTCTATTTCTTATAACGCAGTTCTTTCATCATATGGTTTTTTTCTAATTTTTATTTTACTACAGTGTTTACCTTTAAGTTTTAACTCCTTCCGTAACCTTCGGGAGCTCGCGCCATTTAGAGTCACATGCACGATTGCGGGGCGGTATTTTTGCCGCCGACGAAAGTCCTTCCCCTTTCTCAATATTACAGATTCTCTTGATCGTCAGTCATGAGAAATTTATTAAATAACATTAAGAGTGCATTATAAAAGATTAAAAATTTGTTGAAATAGTTTTAATAATTCTTCAGAAAATAAATTTCTGAAGGAAATAATCTGCATAGTCAGTCTTCTGCTTTGGCTTCCCAAAACACGTATGACAAATACGTAAAATAAAATAATGACATAATAAAAATCTAAATTAAAATCTAATGAAGTAGAAAGATAAAAATATATTAAGTAAAATGAAAATGGTAAAAAGTTCAAATAAAACGTCAATAATAAGTAATAGGAATTTAAATTACTAAAAATCTCTGAAATCACTAACAAATTACATGTAATGAATGGTCAATTCGTTTAATTTTACATTATAA